GTTAACACACATTGAGTTTCTGCACCCTTGACAAGTCAGCCTCTGTAACAATCATGTACCTCCAAAGCTTTTGCTACATTTCGATGGAGCAAGGATTGATGTGAATGAACAAAAACAGAAGTTACTGGAAAAGCTCGCCAGGCCTGGCAGCATCAGTGAAGAGAAACCAGAGTTAATGTTTTGGGGCCGGTGACCCTTCCTCAGGACCCTTCTGATTTACAACATCCACAGTTCTTACGGTTTTTATCTTGATGTGAATGAAGCTTGCTGTCACAGGTTATAATATAGCGGCAGTACCTGGCTGTGATTTTGGACCACAGCCCAGCCAAGGTCTCCTGTCACTGCACCTGTCGGAAGTGGTCCATGAATCAATCAGTTGCACCCCCTTGCTGAGACGCTCAGTAAACCTAACAGATCACATCTCACATAGCACCCACCTGGAGCGTGATGATAGATAGCAGTCCATGAGCTGTTAACTGTGTTTTGACATAGGCTCTGATCATGAAAAAAGAAGCAGCGAATGCTGAGGTTAACAGCTACATTTAACAGCAGGTAGTGTCATGCCGTCAATTCAATTCAAGCAGCAGGGGCCAAGAGAGAGAAAATTAACCCAAATCATAAAACTTTAAAGGAAAGCAATAACTTGCATTTCTATAGCACCTTTTCATTATATCGCAATGTCCCAAAACATGTAACATCCAGGAAATACTTTTGATGTTGAATCACTGCTGTAATATTGGAAATACAACAGCCAATGCCTACTACAGGATGTGATAACAACATTGATAATGGTTTTTTTTTGTGGTGTTGATTCAGGGCTAAACATTGGTCAAGACACTAGGGAAAACTTACCTGTTTGATTACAAATAGCAATGTGGGATCTTGCACATGCATCTGAGAGGGAAGAGGAGGTTTCAATTAAAGACCTTATCCACATGAGAGCATGTTATCAAACACTACCCCATTCCATGAGTGTCAGCAAAGTTTTTCATCTTCAAGTCTAAGAGTGGGACTTGTTCCAGAAACCTGTGATATAGAGGCAAAGGTGCTACCAACTGAGCAATGGACAACTCTCACGAGAACAGTAAATGTTAAGAAATTTGTTAGAGATGTTTATAATTATGAACAGTTTTGATTGAGTAATGAAAACTGTTCACCATGGAAAAAAAATTAGAATTAAGGTGATCACCATGTTTTCCACTGTGAGAGAGAGACAGCATCAACTATTTTCTATAAGTAAATTGTTGAATGACCAATTAATACAATTCAAGGCAGGAGGAGTATGTTGAGCTACCCCCTGCATCCTTAAAACGGCCTACCAGTTTATACACATCACACATTCTGTATTGATTCCATGGCCTCACTGTATGATAGCTTGATGGTTCCACAAACCATGGAAATATAAGGAGATTTAAAGTAATGCTCATTGAGTAGAGTTCCTGTAATTACCAATAGCATACAATCAGGCTGTAATCTCATAACATTATTCGGGATTCTGGCACTTGGTCCATATTCACTACTCTGAGAATCTGTGTGTTGTGGACTTAATGCATTTCATTTGCCTTCTTTCTTGTCACGGGCTTCTCTTAAAGTTACTAATGCTTACTGTGATACAGCTTTATGGAATTACCTTTGCAGGGCCTTGCGTTCTTCAATGAGGCTACAAAGCCCGAGAGACCATCCTTCAGTGATTGAGGGAATTAAAGCTAAACAGCTCAGTCCAAATCTGCCCTTCCTTGACATTGACTGGAAAATGTTTGGGAATTGGGAAAAATAGTTGATTTTTCTAGTCCATGGGATAGGACTATAACAACCATGAGCAGCAGTAGGCCCTTTGAGCCTGCTGTGCCTTTCAATAGGATCATGACTGATCTGATATTCCTCATGTCCACTTTTCTGCCCTTTCCCCATAACCCTTGATTCCCCTGCAGACTAAGAATCTATCTATCTCAGTCTTAAATATACACCAGGACCATTTCAGTCTTAATTGGTACCCCTTTATTCTGAAACTGCACCCTCTGGTCCTAGACTGTCCTGTGAAGGGGAACATCCTCTCAGCATTTACCCTAAGTCCCTTAGGAACCCTATACATTTCAATGCGATCACCTCTCATTCTTCTAAACTCCTGTGAGTAGAGTCCCAACCTGTTTAGCCTTTGTTCATTAGACAATCCCTCCATTCTGGGAACATCCCAGTGAACCTCCTCTGAATTGCCTCCAATGAAATTATATCTTTCCATAAATAAGTCCAAGGGTATGTGGCAATTTTAGTGCTGTTGATCCAGCACAGAGAGTCAACTTAATGTCAGAGGCTTGGCAAGTTATAGTCTACTTGCTTCAGATATAAATATATGCTATCAACTCTGAGATAGTAAGAACTGCCGATGCTGGAGTCTGAGATAACACAGTGTGGAGCTGGAGGAACACAACAGGCCAGGCAGCATCAGAGGAGCAGGAAAGCTGGTGTTTTGGGTCGGGACCCTTCTTCAGTAATCAGCTGGGTAGCTGGTAAATGATGCTGACAGCATGGGTTTAATTCCCATCACCCATGATGGATTCTCCTTCTCAAACTCTCCTTTTACCCGAAATGTGCTGAACCTCAGGTTAAACCATCACCAGTCATCTTTCCCTAATTAGACAGCAACTCTACAGTTCAGTAGGACTATGGTGACTTCTGCTGTCAACTGCTATTACTGTGTTCTTGCATTATAGATATATAATGTGGGACACTGTCAGTATAATTGCTTATGAGACAGTTATGTTTATATATCAGGCAGTATGTCATGACCAGAGGGCATAAAGCGAAATGTCCAAAGAAAACTGTATTCTTTTCTATGTTTTGGGGTTTAAATTCTGTTTCTTTCACAAATGGACAACTTTGCTGAACTCATAAAATGGTTGAGGCTGATCATATTATCATATTTTCAGAAGCTTCTGAATCCACTTCATTGCATTGGCATTCCAGCTAAAGCTGACACAAAGGATGTGGAGACAAGCTGAATGCTTCTGGCCAGCTCTAGACAAAGGAAAATGACAAAATCCATTAGACTGAAAAGGGCACTACTGCTTTTACAGTTACCTCATCACCTGGCAATGGAAATTCAAATGGGGGAGCTAAAACTACAATGTTAGCTGAACAACCAGCTAACTCACCCACTGAGCTGGGGCGTTAGTAATTTAAATGCCTCTCCGAATCACATGACTGAAATCTGTGCTTGTTGAGTTGCTTAAATGTAGAGTTCTGGAATTCTAAATTAATCATTGTTTAACCTCTAGGAGAAGACCAGGACTCTAGGCTGAGTTGGCAGCCTGCCTCAGAACCTCCATCTCTAGTTCCAAGTGGCCAGCAGGAAAGAAAGCTACACTTCGTCTGTAAGAAGGAACATTACTGGGCCCAGCTTACTGAGTGAAATATTACCCGATATTAACCTTTGGGAAGTTGTACCCTACATGAATGGATTTTTTTTTAGATTTACCAAAACCTGTCGCTTATAACCTATCTCCCCACCTGTCCTGCCTTCCTTAATTTCTTGAGTGTTATGTGTGCCTGTGTGTGTCTGTGTGTGTTTGTGTCTATGTCTGTGTGTGTGTGTGGGTGTCTGCGTATGTCTGTTTAAGTGCCTGCCTGTCTGTGTGTGTGTGTCTTGTGTGTGCATGTGTGTGCATGCATGTGTGTGTGTGTGAGTGTCTGTGTTTGGGCATACAGGTCGTTCTCCTAAAATATGACAGTTGTATTTTTATGCGACCTCACACTATAGAAAATCACCACAGAAAATCACGTTATAGGGAAATCACTGCAGATAATTGTTATACCTGGACAGCAGAACGTTCGCATTATCCATACAGCATCAACTATTTATCAATCACGTTACAGCCAATTTGCATTAATGAAACATGCGTTATAACAGAACTAACTGTCTGTGTGAGAGATAGCAGGAACTGCAGATGCTGGAGAATCTGAGACAACAAGGTGCAGAGCTGGATGAATACAGCAGGCCAAGCAGC